CAGCATCTCTGCTCTCGTCAATGACAAATCCCACTTGCTGGCTCGAGGAAGCATTTGCTAAACATTGAATGAATAAGTAAACGGGATAAATAAACAGATGAGCAAATAGTAGATAAATTCTCAAGCTGGAAGCAGGGCTCTCTGTCCCACGTGCTGAAAGTCGTCCCTGGCTACTGAGCTAGAGCCAAAATATCCAAATCCGCTCCAGATCCTCAGTTCCAGAAAATGTTCTAAATGCTTTCATCCTCTGAGTTACTAGTGAGACTCATCCCTTGAGTTTTTATATAGTGTCTCCAAGAGCCTTATATGTCCTTCCAAACAGGAGAACATAATGCCTCTACTGTCAGCCATTAACATCGCTGAATATATTAAAATAATACCTTCACATTTTGCATATAACAGAGCCAAACCGAAACTAGCACAGCCTGAACACTGACAGCATGCTGGTCAGAGAGCGAGGCACTTTACACATCCTACTGACTGCCTCCTTGCACCCATGGGAACTGTACTTCCAGAACACTCTGTGGGGGTGGCACCATGTGACTGGTTCTAGCCAATCAGGCGCAAGCATGTCTGTCACCCTCTAAAGTACTAATGAAAGACCTGTCAGAGCTCTCTCTTGGCCCAGGCTTAGCCACAAGGTGGGTTCCCACTCTTCATTTATAACTGGGTTTGGGGAAGGACAAGGTCCCCTCTTCTTGTGAGAACTCAGTTGTTAGCCATGTTCAGTGCTATAAAAGCCCAATGATCTTTGACTGCAGCCATCACTGGGAGCTAAATGGACCTGAAGCTTGGACATAATTGTTTTGTGAGAGGGTTTCCACTCTGAGAATCATTGGAAGGGAGGGTGGGAAGGTGGGCACATGATGGAGAAAGACAGCCCCAGAACAAAGCAAGGGTGAGTGATGAGGAGGAGGTCTGGGAAATGATGTAGCCCGGGAGGGGAGGTTGACATGATCCCAGGGAAAGAGGGGTTCTTCGTGTTTAGTGGGAGTGAGGCATCAGACCTCACTCTGATGAGTGAGGAGAGAGGAGAGAGAGAGAGAGATCATCTTGGGAATAAATACCCAGAACCTCACTGTCAAAGCCAAGGAGATGTTATGATGACCCTGAGCAGAGAGGAGAAGCAATACAAGAATGTCTTTGTAGACTTAACCGTGACAAGAAATTGTATAATTTAAGGCCTAATTTGTTTTGAATGTTTTTGCCCTTTTATATGTCTAGTTTATTATCCCAGACCTTGTGAAATAGTTTGAACTCAAATTTAAGTTCACCAAGAAACACAGATGCGTGTGAGAAAGAATTAGTCTGCTACGGATCATCTAAATTAGTCATTAACTCCCTAACCGGGACGTAGGTGGAAGGAGCAGGTCAGCAAAGGCGTCCATGTGGCTGACCAGCATCATGGCTGCTTGAGATTCATCTTGTCCAGGCTGCTGATCTTACACATGAGAATTTGCCAGTGACTCAAAGCTGACAGGTTCATCATCTTTGAGAGTCCATGTGATCTTTACCTTGGAGATGATGAGCTCTGGGGTCTTCAGGTGGGGTGTGACACTCAGTTCTTATTTTATATAATTCTTACATCATTTTTTGTTTTTGTCTAATACATGCATTTTCATTTTGGTTATAATCCCCATACAATTTTGGTTATATTCCCCATACACCCCCTTATTTTGACCCTAATTCCTCTTCTCCTCTCCCCCCGCCATTGTGTGTCTCTGGTATATAGTTGCTTGTTGATTTTGATTTTTTCTTTATTATAATTAGTTTTTTCCTGCTCCCTTATTTAGGTTTTCTAAATTCCTGCTATGAGTGAGACCATCTGGTATTTTTCTTTATCTTTCTGGCTTATTTCGCTGAGCATAATCCCTTCCAGCTCCATCCATGTTGCTGCAAATTGCATGAGTTTATCTTTTTTGATTGCTGAGTAATATTCCATTGTGTATATGTACCACATCTTCTTGATCCAGTCATCTATTCTGGGGCATTTGAATTGTTTCCATAGCTTAGCTATTGTAAATAGTGCTGCTATAAACATAGGGGTGCAGGTGCCCTTTTGAATTAATGTTTCTGTGTCCTTTGGGTAAATACCTAGGAGTGGAATTGTTAGCTCATATATATGTAAGCTCTGTCTTCAGTAGATATAGCTTTCCATAGTGGTTGGACCAGTTTGCACTCCCACCAGCAGTACAGGAGAGTTCCTTTTTCTCCACACCCTCGCCAACATTTGTTGTTGCTAGTTTTTTTAATATGTGCCATTCTCACTGGTGTAAGATGGTATCTCATGGTACTTTTGATTTGCATTTCCCTGATTACAAGTGATGTTGAACATTTTTTCATATGCCTGTTGGCCATTTGTATTTCTTCTTTGGAGAAGTTTCTTTTTAGCTCTTCTGCCCATTTTTTGACTAGATTATTTCTTTGTTTTTGTTGAGTCTCATCAGCTCTTTGTGGATTTTTGTGATCAGCCCTTTATCATTAATGTTGTGTGCAAAAATTTTCTCCCAGTCGGTGGGGTTTCTCTTTGTTTTGGTTATTGTCTCTTTTGCTGTGCAGAAGCTCTTTAATTTGATGTAGTCCCAGCTGTTTATCTTTGCCTTCACTATAACTGCTTTGGGTGATATGTCTATAAAGATGTTTTTGAGGTACATGTCATGTAGAGTTTCGCCTATATTTTCTTCCATATATTTTATGGTTTCAGGTCTTATGTCTAGTTCTTTAATCCATTTTGGGTTGGCTTTTGTGCATGATGTGAGGTAGTAGTCAAGCTTCATTCTTTTGCATGTAGCAACCCAGTTTTCCCAGCACCATTTATTGAACAAACTTTCTTTGCTCCATTGCATATTCTTTGCTCCTTTGTCAAAGATAAGTTGGCTGTAAATCTGTGGGTTCATTTCTGGATTTTCTATTCGGTTCCATTGGTTGTGTGTCTGTTCTTGTTCCAATTCCATGCAGTTTTGATTATTATAGCTTTGTAGTATAGTTTGAAATCTGGGAGTGTGATGCCTCCATTCCCCTCTTTTTTTTCAGGAGAGCTTTGGCTATTCGGGATTTTTGGTGTTGGCCACCAAACTTCACAGAGCCTGTCACCAACGAATATGTGAGGACAATCATATAACACACCGTGGCTTTTTTAGGCACCTAAGTGAATGATGAGAGCAAAGTGTCTGGCACAGAATTTATCTCAGAGTATCACTCCCATAAATTCCTTCTCCTTCTAGTGAAACAGGGGTGGACAGGGCCATAAAAGAGGCCATATGGCAGGAGGCCAGACGGAAGGTTCAAGAGAGCTACCCACCTGCCCAGGCTCTGAGACCAGAGAGCCACCAAAAAGTCCCAAAAGGCCAAAAGGCCAAAAACAATACAACACCCACACAATAGGGGCCTATGGGCTATAGCCTAACAAAGGATAGTGCCCGAAAAGAGGATAGGTCACTGTAGGTTCTCACCCATGCGCACAATTGCAAGAGATCTTAGGCAGGAACAACAACCATGGGTGATATGTCTGTAAAGATGTCTTCGAGGTGCATGTCATGTAGTGTTTTGCCTATATTTTCTTCCATATATTTTATGGCTTCAGGTCTTATGTCTAGTTCTTTAATCCATTTTGAGTTGGTTTTTGTGCATGGAGTGAGGTAGTAGTCAAGCATCATTCTTTTGCATGTAGTGACCCAGAGCTCACTGTACCCACGTGGTGGCTACCTCACCCAGGTACCATAAACAACCCCATGGATGTCTTGTGGAATTAGGGAAAAGTGTGGGACAGATATCTGACTCACATTTGACAGAAAGTGTGCAGGAGGGAGGCTGTGGCCTGGTGGGAGACCGGGCTAGCACAATGAAAGAGAGCTGCACTGAAGTGAGCAGTGCTGAAGCTAGGCCCAAAAGTGGAGCTGAAGAATATCAGTCATTACACAACTTGGAAAGTTCTCTATCCAAGAAGCCACCCACCTTGGCAGTGCAGGCTGCTTGGCCCCAGCAGAAGAAAACTCAGGTGAACCCAACCATAAACCAGGAGGGCTTTGTAAGCAGCCTGGCAGGTTTCCCTCATGCTGAAAACTATTGAAAGTCCCAGTGAGAGGGACTCAAAAGTAACCACTAAAGTGCCCATGAAAGAAAGATGCGGCACTTGGGTTCTCAACACAAAGAGTGCTTCTATCAGATCATGTCCACACCTGCCACCTAAGGAAGATTTTTCTGCCTTTTTACCCAAAGGAGCCAATGGCAGGATGAGCAGACAGGGAGGGGGACATGGGACAACAGGTCTTGGTGGGCTTCCAAGCCAGACAAGGGAAAGCAGAGGTAGTGGTCAAAAGAGAATTTGGATAAAAGACTGCTCTGCTCTAGACCTGTTAATATCTGAAAATGTCCGTAATATTCTGTGGACTCTGCAGGAAGAAAGAAGGAACTGGAAAAGCTGAACACTAAGTGGAAGAAAAATAAAGTTCATTTCTGTTCACACTCTATGAAGTCCAGTCCTCAGAAAAAGACAGTCACGCACGGTTGTACTCGACAGTCCAGCCACATAGGCCCTGCACTCGAAAGAGCTCGAACCTTGACTTAGTACTCTGCTCTTACCATCCTGATTTTCTTTTCCTTTTTTAAAGATTTATTTATTTATGCATACAAGAACTGGGGTACAGGCCAGAGGTGTGGGGGGTGAGAGGATTCACCAGAGATAGAGTGGGGAACAGAACAGGCAGACTGAGTGAAATGCACTGCTGAGGGAAGCAGCAGGCAAGACAGGAGAGGTCTGCTGCGCCATGTGGGTTAGCTCCCTGGCTGGGGATGGAACTCTCGCTGCAGTGACTGTCAATAGCTTCATAGTGCTGTCTTAACCCCTTGCGCCACCAGGTAGGCCCCCATCCTGACATTATTAACAAGTTCTGCCCAGGATGTTTGTGTTTTCATGTCACACTGGCCCCTGCGCATCACACTGGTCCTGGCTACATAAATAACAGTGATTTAGCCATGTTCTATGTGACCCCACGGGGTAGTGTGGGACCAAACAACGGGAGGTGGAAATTTACAGATTTCAGCTCAATATTAGAGTTTTTATTTTATTTTTTTAAATATGTGGTTAACCAGCTCAGAATAGGCTACGAGGGAGCGCTTCTGAACACCAGGGTCTCTACAACTACTTGGCAGGACTGTGAGGGAGACAACTCAAGCTTTGTACTCTCCAGCTTCCAAAATTCCCTCCAACTCTGGGATTATCTAATTCTTTCGTTAATGAATCTCCTTCAAGATGTCTACCCACTTCACCAGGAAATGAACTCACTGGTACTGAGGCCAGGTAAGAGTAATTCCAAGTCCAAGTTATAACCCGTACATGGACGGGAGTTTCATTAACTCCCTAGGTCTCTGTCCAAATTGTGAGCTGCTGTTTTTCTTTATGAGAACATTGTGGCTGTTACTCACTGTATTTTTGATCATTGTAAACTGAATCTTATTGTGGCTGGAAAACTGTGACTTTTTGCTTCTAAGAAAAAAACCCTACAAAAAACTCTCAGAAAATGTCTTGGACTTAGAACCACCCTCATTAATCATCATTTTGACAATGAAGCATAAACAGACCTGACAAATATTGATTAAGTTTAACATTTAAAATCCATGCTTGTGTTTTGGTTATTGTTGCCATCATCATCACCATCATCCATAGGATTGATGGTTCTAGAAGAAACGACTGCCAATTATTCTCTGAGAACTTCCACATATAACATCTCAGGCTGGAAGGTTCTCTCCACTCCACCTTTATGGGGCTCGTCTCTGAAAGCACCACTTGAGGACTGAAGCCCCATGATAAATACCAGCCATGGTGAACAAGTCTCAGACCAGGAATCAGCAGGAAACTGGTATCATTGGTCATGCTCAGCAAATCCACTTCCCCACAGACTCACCCTCCTACGTATTGGAAAACTTTGAGTTTCTTTCATACCATATTTTGGCCTTGACCTTTCTAGCATTTAACCTCCCTACAATGGAGTCTATGTATCTCCACACGCTCCATGCAGACCCCCTAATTATAGCCATCCGTTAAGCTGTCAAGAAGAAATCCCCAGCTCAATCACGTCTTTATCAGACTCTGGCTGCCAATGGGGTCAAGTTAGGCGTCAAGTCTGACCTGCCCAGAGCCCCTGTCCAAGACTGGTCCCCATGTCACTGGGGCCTTTGTGACCAAGCAGGCCAGACAGCCACCTGGTTGCCCCAGCTAAGCTCCCTCTCCCGCTGCATCACCAGACAGGGTGGAGCCAGAGGGACAATGGATATGACTTCATGGAGGGCCTTCTCTGACTTTTATCTTTGGGGAATTTTGTGCAAGGGGTTGTACTGGGCCGACAAAGTCCAAATTTAGAAGTAGACACCAGTGAATATGGAGGAACTGGTTTCAGGGGGGGGGGGGAAATCTTCAGTTGGACCTGCTTCAGAGATTGTAGAATCAAAAATTTTATCACCACCAAGGAACTTAATGATTATCTGTCTAAAATTTTATTTTACAGATCAGTGCAAATGTGGCTGAGGGACCTGGGGTTTACTTTTATTGTTCTGAGTCTGGTTTTCTTTGGTTTTAGGTGAGTAATATTTTGAAGTGCACTCCATAACAACGAGAGAAGTTCAGGGTTGACCTTGTTATTCTCCCGTTGTTTCATGCAAATATGTTTTATCTCTCATAGGAGATCATAACATTTCTCAAGGACAGAGGTTATTTCTTCTCTACTCCTTATGGAGTAGTACTAGTGAAGAAAGCACTTAAAAGTATTGCTGAGAGTTAGTACACATTCTTTCCTCGTTTTTTAATGCGTTGAGTGTGTTTGTATGTGTTGGTGTCTCTCTAGATAGATTATAAACAGTATTGCAAGTCTCAAATTTCATTGCTAATCCTACTCCCCCATTGAAAAGACAACGCTGAGATCCAGAAAAGTAACTCACACAAATTCACTCAACTTGTATTTGATTTTAACTCAAATCCAATTACTGCTCACTCCATGCTCTTCCCACAATCCAAGTTACTTCGTGGGATAACATCAATAGCTAAACATTGACGAGCAAAGTCAACCAGATGTCAGAACAAACGAGGTGAATCAGCCCTAATTGACATTCTCTTTATTAGTAGTACTAGCTTAAATTTATAAAACTGTTAGAGTTTGCAGAATAAACACTAGTAGTTTCTTGTGTGTTCCTTAGTAAACAAAACTTGAAAGCAAGTCCATGCCCCATAGATGCATTTTCACTTACGCAAGAGGATGATTGCCACACTCCTTGCTGTCCACTTGGCTTTTCTCACTTAATGATGTTACCTTGGGACCTTTCCATCTTAGCACATGCAGATCTAAGTCACAATTTTATTTTTTTTTTAAAGATTTATTTTATTTATACAAGAACTGGGGTATAGGCCAAATGCGCAGGAGGGCGAGAGGATTCACCAGAGACAGAGTGGGGAACAGAACAGGCAGACTGATGAAATACACTGCTGAAGGGAGCATTGGGTGAGAAAGGAGAGATCTGCAGCACCATGTGGGACCCTTGCCGGCTGGCCGGGATTGAACCGGCACGGCAGAGGCTGCGGACAGCTTCACAGCGCAGCGCTCAACCACCTGCGCCACCAGGAGGCCCAATTTCAAAATGGCACAATTGTAAGTCACAATTTTAAAATGGCACTTATGGTTGGATATATCACAGTTTATTAAACCAGTCCTTACTGATGAACACTTGTTTGCAGATTTGAGCTTAAAAAAATGACTATTTTTAACGATGTCCTCTGGAGAGTTTTAAGTAACTAGCTTGATAATCAGATTAGCATTTTGGAATTCACCAATAGCCTTATACCTTTATTTCAGCAGATAATAAAGCCAAAGTCCAGAGAAGTTTGGGAGCTTCGGCAATGAGGGGCAAGATCATAACCAGAACATAGTGTTCTCGAGTCTTTGTCCATCTTCATTCCTTTGCATGGTCCACTTAAGAGCACTGGGCATGCTGGTCTTGGCTGTTCGTAGATGTCAACGGCCACTCTCACCTCATCTCCAGGCTGCCCTCAAGGCCCAACATTCTTTGTTAAAAGATCTGTTCCATCACAAGAGTCTCACTATGGCTCAAATTTTACCAGCACAGAAGATCACTGGGTCAAACTTCCCATTTCGGTAGATGAACCAAAGCGCCTTGAATGAAGACGTAATTCAATAAAACTTAATACTCTCATAAAATCGAATATTCTCTGATTCCCCAATGAACTCCAAAACTTATTAGATTTCTTCTGCAGATGATGTGAGATCCGTTGTTTTACCTAACCTAACCCCATTATGCCTCTAAAAACACATTACTATTTAAATGCTTATGTTTCTTTTATTCTGCAAATGTATACGCGCTAGCACAGTGTTTGGGGTGGATGTCCTGCTCAGGGGCTCCTTGTGCAAAGTGCCACATGAGTTCATCACAGAAGGAGGATAAGGGAGTGATTAGGATGAGGATCTTCTAGGGGTGAGGCTCTGAAAGCTACACTGACTTTTCAGACTAAGTACTTTTTGCTTGTTCATTGTAATGAGACAGAATTTCTCTATTAAACAGCAAAAACCGAAGTTTCTAGTCTGGTTTCAACAATGAAAATAATTGCTACAGAGCATTGAGAAACTTCACTGCAGGCACTGTTCTCTGAGCTTCGTGTGGTCACAACTCTACACTTTAGACCAATCTAAGGGGCAAAAGAGAAGTTCCCAGGAACTCCTGCTACATTTCTTAATGACTTTCTGATAATTACAACTTGCTCCAGACTATGTGACACACGGTCTTAGCTCTGGGAGAGCTAGAGCTGATGGCTGTCCCTCACCACTTCTCTGCCGCAGTCAGGACACTGGCACATTTCTTTCTATGCCACTTCTAATCCTGCCGCGGCCAGGCCCCTACGCTGTTTATTCATGTCCTTAGTGCTAAAATATGAGGATTGAGTGAGATAGTTTGAAAAGCGATGAGCAACTTTTCAGGACACCGCAGTCATCCAGCACTCCGTCTGTTACAGGGCAGGGTGAGGGGCACCCCAGGACCTCCAAACCTGCCCACTCTAAATGGATTCTGCCATCTGCCACATCAAGACAAAACACACTCTAGTGGGTAAGACCTCCAATAGAAAATAATACAATTAGTGTGCAATAAAGAGAAGAGAAAGAATATAGGTACCAAATCAAGCACCCAAAGTTACCCATCCCTTTGTAGGTAAAACCCCAGCCACACAGGCTTGGCCCAAAGCGGGGCCACTGGAGCCCAAAAGCCTGCCACAAATCCTTTTGGTGGGGACCTATAGGAAAGAGGCAACAGGCGCCAGGCAAGTCTGGAATGAAAAGAGCAAAATCAAAACCCAAGTCAAGATAAAGGCCACCATTGTCAGCCTCCCTATGGGTCTCTCACCCACGTCTCTGTCTCTTTCAAGTGTTTCCTTCCGTGTCCCCCAAGTCCCTGGTACAAGTTCAAGGCTGAGAAGCAAGTGCAGCTTCTTCACATGTTCCCTGCTCCGTGTGCCTCCTCCAGGTCTTCATCTCAATCTCCTTCCTTCCTTCTCTCAGTCTTCCTAGCTTCTCCTCCGTGTCCAGTTCTACCTTTCCTTGGGCGGGTCAGGGAACCTGGAACCTCCCCTCTCCTCGGGGATTACCCTGGTAGACTTCTACGTGATCAGTGGTGCACAAGGTCATTTAACACAGCTTCTTGGGCCAGGAAACATGTGCTCTCATCAAGGTCTGTGGCATCCTGGCTCAACTCTTACATGGCTGCCCAGTGCTGGCAAGGAGGGCTGAGTCTAAAGCTGGCCAGCCTCTTGATACTGATGCTTATCCTGTGCTTCTGGAACTTCCTGGACAGATCTTTCTCTTGGAGTCATGGCCTCCCCCTGGACAAGACCTTATTTCTCCCCCTTTCTCAGCTGATCTTTCTGAAGCAAGTTATAATCTAATCTTGGAGGTGTTATTTATTTAGTCTTTTAATATTCTCTTTCCAATCTGTTGGAGAATTTCTAGCTTCAGTCATTCCTTTCTTCCATTCCTTTCTTTCAGTGAGTTGAAAGATTGTTTTCTTTGCTATGAATCTGAAAGACAATTTCAGAAGTCCAGGAATTCCACTGCATTAATGCTCAGATTTAATGGGGGAAAACAAGAAGATTATTGGGAACAAAAAACATTATCAGTTATTCTATACAAATATTTTCTCACTGTTCGTGTTCTGTGACCTTCTGCATACTACATCTCTGGACTCAAACACAGGGATTTATATTCTAAAAATTAACTTAAGATATGCTCAATGCCCACAGAAACAACAGCCTCTAACTCGCTGGGATGTCTGTTTGCTTCGTGATTTTTCTTTTCAGTTGAAAGTTCTACTTGTATGCTTTCTCTTTGGGTGAAATGTTCAGGTAAAAGGACTCCACCCTTTTCTCTTCTCATTTGTTCGCGTTGACCCCTGTAAAGGCAGGAGGACACAGAGCAGGTTCTCTATGACACGAGCAGATGGGGTAAAGGAGAGAGTCCTGGAGCCCTCGGTGGCCTTTGCAGGCTTTTATTGGGATTTGCCAGGTACATGGCAGGCAGGGTGCTGGGGGGCCGGGAGGCTGGCAGGCCTCCCAGTCCCCAGCAAGTCTTCACTCTTGTCTGGGCTCTCTGGCCTTCTCTGGTGGCCTTGTTCTCTGCTCTTCTTGTGGTTCTGCTGGCGTCCCTGTGACGCTGCCCTTAAAAACTCAGTCTCTCAGCCCAGGTGCACCCACTTACGCATTCTCACACCCTATTCCAGGTGTCCACCATCAGGCATGCATTTAGGATTGCAGATCCATCATCTCTCCCAATGGCGGGAGGGCAGAAAAGCCTGATACTTTACTTACCCTACAGCCCCATAGCAGATTTTTGAAAATCTGTGAGGAAAACATAATATTCTACTGTTTCAAAGTTCTACTCCTCTAGTTTCTTCCAATCAAAGCCTATGATTCCCTTGTAACTTAAGCGCAAGTAGAACATAAACACCTCCACAGATTTTCTTGCTCTTAGAGCACTTGGGGTCAGAAAATCTTTTCTGCAGACAGGTAGAGAGTAAATAGTTTAAGGCTTTTCAGGCCATACACTGTCATTATTACTCCACTCTACCTGTTGCATAAAGCTGCCGTAGACAATATAGAAACGTGAAGATGTCTGTACCAATAAAACTGTGTTTACAGCACCAGTATCGGGCCATGGTTTACCTACATGATCAGGAGGAGAAGGAAATGTCCGACTAACACTGATTACTCTCTCTGTGCAAAGGCTGTGCTGAGTATTACCTCAGTTGCTCTCAATAATTCCATAGGTTAGATACAACTGCTATTCCCATTTTCTAATTGAAGACACTAAGCTTTAAAGAGACCAAAAAGGGCCTCCCTGGTGGTGCAGCAGGTAAAGACAGAGCTATCAAGTTATCGCCAGTCACTTCAGCATGAGTTCGATCCCCGGCCAGCCAGGGAGCAACCTACATGGCACAGCAGACCTCTCCTGCCTTGCTTGCTGCTCCCCTCAGCAGTGTATTTCAGTAGATCTGTCTGCTCTGCTCCCCACTCTCTGGTGAATCCTCTCACCTCCACACCTCTGCTCTGCATCCCAGTTTTGTATGCTGTAGGGGCAGGAATGGACTTCTAATATCCAGCAGACCAGATAAAGGAGGAGTCTGAGTCCTCAGTGGTTTTTTGCAGGTCTTTTATTGGGATTACCAGATACACGGCAGGCAGGGGTGCTGGGGGGCCGGGAGGCTGGCAGGCCTCCCAGCCCCCAGCAAGTCTTCACTCTATCTGGGCTCTCCGGCCTTCTCTGCTTCTCTCTCGGCTTCTGTTCATTCTCGGCTTCTTGGCTTCTCTTTCGGCTTCTCTTTTGGCTTCTGCTGGCGTCCCCGTGACGCCGCCCTTAAAAGCCCAGTCTCAGCCCAGGTGAATCCCATCTACCTAGGCCCACACCCTATTCCAGGGGCCCTCCATCAGGCATGCATTCAGGACCACAAGGATCCATCATCTATCCTGATGGCGGGAGGGCAGAAAAGCCTGACATTTTTCCTTACCCTACATATGCATAAATAAATATTAAAATAAATAAGTAAACTTTTTAAAAAAATTAATAAAGAGGCCAAACAATTTTCTCACCACCAATAAACAATTAAATAGTGGAGCCAGAAACTCAGATCTGAAACCAAAGCCCCAGCCTTCCTTCATTAGGCTATGTTGTAAATATCCACAGTCACTGCTTAAAGCTTTTTGGTCAACTTCTCTTAGAAATTATTACTAAACACAATGGGAAAACTTAGTGAAGTCGCAAAATTAAACTTCAATAGAAAGACTGAACATAATTTTAATTTGCTTAATCCAAGTTGACTTTGAGATATTTAATTGAACAAACATTTATTATGCCACTATTGTGAGCCCCAAATTATAATAGCGATTTGAAGGGGAAAATAATAGAATACAGCTGCCTCACCCCAGAGACACTGAAAAATTTCTGGGGGAACCTTTCCACGCCTTTCTTCTCTTAGAGTCCATCCTGGTTTGAGGAAGCCGACCCACAGCTGACATTACTTAAGGAAGGCAACCGAAACTTAATTGCATTTATCCATAGCCACAAATGTGCTCGTCTTTCCAACCTCCTATGATTAATGTTTTCACATGGATTATTTTTTTTCCTTTTATGATGGTGATATAAGCAATTTCTAGGGAATTTCAAGTGATCTTATAAAAAAATCTCCCAGAATTTAAAGCCCCAATTTCTGACAGCCTTTCCCAGGTCATCTTAGCCCAGCTGTTTACCACTGAATAGCCAACTGGACCAAGGTCCCAAACCCTAACTCAACATCTCCACTTGTCTTCAGAGTCTCTCCTCTGCTCTCAACCCCCTCCTTTCACATAGCCACTCCTGTACATGCAAAGGGTTTTGTGTGTTCTAGCAGGGTGGATTACTTAAACAGGACAGACTCACATAAAGGAACAGTGAAAACCCTTGCTCTCATAAAGTTAAGACTCATAATGGAGTATACCTCTTCCAGTTCTAGAAAAGGTTCTCTCTGCTGTCATCCATAAAATTTTTCCTCTCCCTTACCCCATCGCCTTACTCCAAATCAAATGCCTTTTTAATTTTCTTCCCCTCCAAATACATCTGTTTAATTGTTATTATGCTTCATTTGCACTAAATCCAAATGGAACCCAGCCAACAGTGGTGGTGTTTTGGTGTTGCTTTTC